AAAAAAAGAAAAAAGAAAAAAAAAAGAAACATTTCGTTGAAATATCAGAGTGTGAGCCATTTCCATTGGTTCATTTGATATTTAAAGCCATTGCAGGAGGCCAATCAAAGGTTATCGACCCATTCTATATATCAGAGAACAGACTAAAGGCTGAATTATTGTCACAAGCTTCCATGACAAAAAAGTGAGTTTTTATATAAAAATGAATTTCAATTGAACCCTAATATAATGAGTTCCTCTTGGGCAAATCTGTACACACAACCTTAAGATCATTATTGCTCATTGAGTAATTAGACAGTAAATAATGTACTTTAGAGTCATCACTGAAGTTGCTAAGGGTAAAGCCAAAATTAATATTTGGGGTTTATATGTGTTTCCCCCATACATACTATCCATAACAATTAACTTGGGTTTACTATCATCTTGGATTTCAGGTAGCCTCCTTCTGCAAAGACTCATTCTCCTAATTATTTCAGGGGAAACATTTGAGTGACAAATTAGGACTATATTTCTCTGTATCAAAGCCATAAGAGAGGAACTGGAATGGCACAAAGCCATGATAGGCCACTATGGTCCCAAAAGTCAGGGTATTTTTGTTTTATACACTCCCATGGAGTAAGATCTTTACAGTTTTGTCAGAGTACTTCTGGGGTTTCAAAATATCAGTTTATTTCTCATCTGCTTAAACTATGATGATCCCATCCTTGAATACTACGTTCTCTAATCACCTTAACTTTCTCCTCTGGTCTCATTTTCCAGGTTTCTCCTGTTGACAAACAGAGGCATCCATTTATAATGGTCATTTTCTATCCCCCATTATTTTTCAATGCTATTCTTCAATACTGTTTTTATCTTCACTTTTTCTCAGGTCACCTACCTTCTGAGGAGTTTCTTCTTTCCCAGCGTGATGAATAAGCTTTTCCAGTTTTTCTCTGGGTCCCTCACTGTTGCAAATTTGCCTCTTTGTAGTTAAGTAAATCTTACCTCACTGTTATAGCTTGAGTTTAAAAGTGCTCCCAAAGTCTTGTGTGGTCTCAGATGGAGCTTTTTCAGAGGTGGCTGAATCTAGACTGTGTGATTCATTCATGGTGCAGTGTTAGCCCCTAGGACACTAGCATTAAGGGTTTGAGTGCCACCCACCCTAAGTAGTGTGAATAAGATAAAGGGGGAAGCAAAATGCTGTTAAGATTGTTGTTACTTTTGCTACCTTGTTGCCACTATGAACTGTCGTTCTCCTCTGAGATGCCCCTCTGCCAACCTGCTTCCCGCCAATTATACAATGAAACCTGTATAAACTGTGAGCTAAAAAAAAATTTCCTCCCTCTAACTTTGGATGTCATGTATTTTGTCTCAGCAGTGAGAAAAGGGGAGAGAAAAATGCTCACTATGATGCTAAACCCTGAAGGCTAAGTTTGTGGGGTTTTGTGGGGAGAGAAGCAGGATCATTTTAAATTCTATTTTTCAGATCTTTAAAAATAAATCGCACAAAGCATAACGCACATTACAAATGGTTATCGTAAAATAGATATTGCCAGCTCCACAGAATTCGTCCTATGGCCCTTCCCAGTTGCGATCTTATTCTTTCCCTCTCCCTTTTCTTCCTCCTTCCTGACACCTAATACCATAATTGCGTTTTGCCTGATTGTTTTGAAAAAGCTGCTAATAAGTAAAAAACTGAAGTGCCACTGCAGTGTATCACACTTCTATTTTTGAACATTAAGTTGATGGGAGTTTCTCCTTGCTTCAAAAATTGGGATACATAAAACATACTTATTTCTTGAGTTGATTGACATAATTTCCCAATTCGCAGTGGTGAGTAGTGTAGATGCTTCGAGTCAAGCCCATGAGATAAGGACCTTGTGTGGCACAGCACCAGGGTGCCGAGGTGCAGATGGGGGATTTAGACTCAGACTCCCCCTGTTTAAATTCTTGCTCTGCCTTCCTTTGTGTTTTGAGTTCAGGACTCTGTGGTTCAGGTTTCTCCACGTTATACTACACCATTTTAGTACCTATTTCATAGGATACTTGTAAGAACAAAATCACTGCTTTGACAAAATGTAACAAATATTTGCTCATATTGTAATTAGTGACTTTTCCTTAAAAATAAATAAACAACAACAGAAATGACAGAATCCTGACAAATCACGGTGTGCCTGGGAAATGTCAACTTGTGCATCAGGGCACAAATCAAATCTGCTCTGCTGTCTCAAGGCATTGTTCATTCCCTGTGCTCTTCATTGCAGTAGCTACTAAACATATATGGCTACATGAATTTAAGTTTAATTTAAAGTTCAAACATGTTGGCAGCACACCAAGTATTGTACAGCAATATGAGGTCAGTGAGTAGCCATATTGTGTGGTGACAATTATTGTAGATTGCTATTAATACAGAATATTTATTAGTGCTTTAGCAATTAGAAAATGATTTCAGTAATTTTATATGAATTTTATAACATTAATTATGTATTGCACACACACACACACATACATACACATATAGATGCTTAATGATTTAGTAAGGATTTTTGTCCCTTGTGGTAACCAATGGTGTTTTACTAACTTTTTTCTCAGGGTCAGTAGGATTGAAAATACACAGTGAAATTTCAAAGAACCTAAGTAAATAATTATTTTAATCTGTAAAAGTAAGGTTTTTTTGGTAAATTTATGTTTTTATAATCCAAGCAAATGAGTGTAAAATCAGATATTCAGTGTACTGCACTTGACAGGATGCACTAGAGCTCTACTTCAGTGACATAATCTGAAATGTTTACAAAGAGTTTGAAACTGAGTCACCTCAATGGCACAATAAATACTAAAGCACAGTTCTGGATTTTTTCATGATTCCTAGTAGAATTCATCTTATAGAACAATATATAACTATGGGGCTAATTCCTTGCCACTGTGATTGCTTTTAAAGTTACCATTTGTATATTCCACATTCCTACAGCCTGATAGAGTTGAAATGGACTTGACATTTGGATAGTGGCATCTTTATACTTGACCCACACATGATCACTAAGATTCTAGTTTACATGGGAAAGCCTGGGAGCTACTAATGTATTCATTTAAAGTAAGTATGTCAGACTATAATTATAAAAAGAAGTGCTGATGAATATTTGGAGTATTCATTAAAATCTAACTTTTCTCCCTACACAAAAGCAAATGCATCCAGTTTAAGTTGGTCATTTAATAGTCTCACAGCCAAACTCGCTGAAGTCCCAGTCTATTCATTCACAGGACAATATTTTTCCCCAATTAAAAGTAACTTGGCTTCAGAGAAACAAAACCAGAATCCTCTCAGTAAGTTACAGGCATATTCAATGTCAGCCATTACAAATATTAATAGGGTATGGGGAGAACTGCTGGAAATATCTGAGCGTCACCCAGAATAGAAGCTGATACAAAGCAATGCTTAGATAAACACTTTTCTTCCTTGTATTTCCACATATGTTCAGACAGCATGATATACTCCAGTTTCTAGATTTTAAATTTCTGAAGCAGAACATATTTTTGTGTCTTATGTTATATTTAGGCTTTAAAGCTTCATGATTTGGAATTATGGATGTACACTCAGATGATTATCCTTAATACACTTAAATTTTAAAATGGAAATATGTATTGTATGACATAAGTTGTACTAAATATACTAATATAAATTAACCTTTTTCAAATTTCTTTTAACCTTTATCTGCTCTTTATTGAAACTACCACTATCCATCAAAATCCTTCACCAGTAATTAAGAATGGGTTCAAATCTTACCTTCTGTTTGTTTTTCCTTGAAAGAAAATGGAAGCACAGAAAATGTCTTAATCCAGATATTATGTAATTCATTTTATTTTAGAAACCAAATGAATCAAAATAGCGTTCTCTCAATCAATCTTAGGGGCCCAAATAAGTGGAGATTTTTATGTTGCCAAAAGAAATATTTTTATGCTGTAGACTCACTTTAAGATATGATTATATGATAATATAAGCCAATTAATAAATCCATGTGGTAGGTAACTCTCTCTTTTTATCATACGGTGGTCTTATTTATTCTTTCCTTTAACCATCCATGTAAAAATCCAGTTTCTCACTTGACCAGTCCCATCTACTTCAGGCCTTAGAATGCCATGTCTGTGGTGTCTTCCAAGTGAACTTTTCCTGGGAAGTCTCCATACTCTGGACCACAGCATTAATGTGCCTGGCTATCAAGTATCTATCTTTAAAACTACTATGGTGGGGCCTCAGTTTTAAAATTTCAATTTTGTTGATTTGATTCAGTTCATTTTACTACATTAATTTGTTATTGACAAATTATCTAACAATACAACTAGTGTTAACAAGTACAAGGAATGTGATGATTTATACAGATTTACTGGGACTCCAACTATACGATGCAGCAAATAAATCTCTCATGGAGAATTTCAAGTTCCTTGTGTCAGGGTAGTAAAAGAAGCAGGGATATTTTAAGGCAGAAAAGAAAAATACCTGTTAAAAATAAAGTTGTGAAGTGTTGTGTTAATCACCCTAATCACCTTACAGTCTGTAGAAATTATTCTTCTTTGAAATCTTTTCTGTTTAATGGGGAGTTAACCTAGAAATACTATATTTGTCAGGCTTCTGGTTACCTTAGTGATTCATATTCTCTTAGCATTGCCATGGAGATTGATACAGCAGCAGTGGTTCTTATGACACTCCACATGGGGAATAGATGATCATGAACTAGTCTGGGGGAACAGAAAGCCAGTGAGCCTCTTTTATCTCTTGTCCTATGTTCATACTTTTGTAAAGATCATACCTGATTCTCAAAGGATACAGAAAACAGAAAGCTTTTGGGTGATTCCTAAATTATTTGGGAAGTTCTCCTGAGAAGGAAGGTAAGCATATATGACTCTTTAATCTGTTACAAATCTTTAAGAACTACAGGCTTCACTAATTATGAAGAGTAAAGGGACTCCATAAGAGGACTCAGACCAAAAAAAAAAAAAATCAGTAAATAAAATTCTTCTTTCCTACTTCTTCAACTCCCCCATAAAGCTCGTGTCTATTACTGTTCCTGAGACTCTAATTGGTATATTTGCGTGTTGACAGTTTAATTCAGTATTTCAATCTCCTAACAGAAGTTACTAGTTCTGTTTTCATTGATCAAATTAGCAAATTTACATATTTACAGACTTTAGACTCCATCTGGAACACTGCCTTTGCATGCACTATATTTAAATCTTGTTTTAAGACCCCAGGTTCTGACTTTCTGAGTAGGAACTGATTTTCCAGCAGCTAGCTTTCCATGACACTCTCTGGAGGTGTTTCAAGTTTTGTTTCCAGGAACTAGGTTTTGATTTATTAATCATTCATAATAAAGCACTAGTGTTGTATTTGCCTAATGAAATGTTACTCAATTGATGCTTCTTTCACTGGCCACTTAAAGAAAATTGTATCTTTTCTGTTCAAGAAACTCATTTGAAACAGTAAGTTTTGAGGGTATATTTTACGGAAATGCAAAGCACAAGTGAATGATACTTTCATTAAAATTTTCATACCAGTTTTATCCTAAGAGTGCCAGCTAAACAAAAAGGAGAGATGATTCACATTTCCCTTAGTATTTCTTTTCCATAAGCCTAGGTATATTCAGGACATGATTTTACACGGTGTTTCCTTTGAAATAAAAGAACAGTTAATAATCTTGAACAAAGAAAATTAGAAAATCTTATAAAAGAAGTACTTTCTTTCTCTGTAAACAATTGTATAACAAACATAATAATTTCCAAATTCATATTTCAATCTTCAAAAGAATTAAATAACCAGCAAAATTAATCTGTTATTTTCCATTAGTGAAGGGGAGCTCATTGGTTCTTCCCTGAGTTAAACTGATTTTCAATTCTAAGGATATTATAATAACCCCCTTCACAAAGGGTGGGTTTTGGTCACTGTATAGCTAAAAGGTTACAATTGGAACCCCCTGAGGACACAGTGTCTTTGAACTTACTTTCTTCCAGGTGGTCTACTCCCTCATTTGAGGGAAGGACTATTTTTCAATTCTTGATTTTTTTCTCATTTTTAATTCTCTATGTTTTTTATTTGCTTGTTTTTCTTACCATTGCTAAAGTCATCAGGGAAATATTTTTTTCTCCCACACTGTCAGTTTTGGAAATCTAGTGGTATAAGAGTGAGACATGAGAAAGGGAAACCTAAGATTTTTCTTATTTTCCTATCCACACATATTATTTGCTCAGTGTATATGGCTTAGAATTCAAACTCTTAGTTTAAAATTTCAGTTAACCATTGACTAGTAATTGAAGTTGATTAATTCATATATTTTGTCATGAATCCCACAGAGGTACTAGTGGAAGCTAGAAAGCTGGATTCAATTATTCCTCTGTTTCGTTTCCCAATCTCTTCACAATCTTCTTGCAATCTCATAAATTAAAATGCTCTACTGAGATTTCAATCCTGTTATTAAATTTAAAGAAAGTTTCATATTTCTCTAGTTTAATCCTTAGCTCTTCCATAATGGAGAAGTTGAAAAATAATTTGTGTATGGGGTTAATTCAATTATTTGATGACTTTATTTGCCCTTGTATCTTGTTTCTCATTCTGAAACCATGGGCAATGAAATCACAGATAAGGGAGAAACCTTTTATTTCATTTTGATTGTACGGATGTCAGAAATACTGATAGTATTTTGTGTTTGATCATATAAAATTTTTCCTCAAAGATAAAACGATACTCCATCAGGTAATTTGCTGTGTTAGTTCAGCTTTCATGTGATGCAATGTGTATTCAGAGACACTAAGCTGACAATATGAAAGATCCATGCTATCTTAACGAACGACACAAATCATGGCCAAAAATCATTTTCATAAAATTTCAAAATTTGACTTGTCTATTTCTTTTGCATGCATTTTCAACGATATTTTGAGACTATTTTTCAAACCATATGGATTGATCACTTTCTTGTTGAATATAACTCACATTGTAGATGCTATTTTTTCTTGTTTTACACATTCTGCTATCTCTTCAATGAAGACTGTCACAAAGATCAACATGTTAAAGAATCGTGAATAGAGAAAGTGTTTAAATACTCAAAAGAAGGACATACCTGAAACTATATACTTTCTCTTTTGTTCTTACAAAAACTCCCAAAAAGCTTGTGTTGTGTGATCAACGTCCACGCTTCTCATGCTTGAAACTAAAGTAGAAAAAAATCATTGAAATTCTTATACCTGTATATGTGCACATAAATACATAAATATGCTTGAAATACTGTCCTATGAAATAATTTTATGTGCATCGATGATAAAATCATTTGTTTTACACAGGATAAGATTTAAATTAATAAAATCAAAAAAATAATAAGATCACAATTAATGATGCCTCCTAACATTTGCAGGTTTATTCCACTGATACATTTCAAAGCAATGCATTTTCACCACTCATCTAATTCTCCTTTGCATATCCTTTATCACATGTGCTAAGCAATTAATGCAGTAAGATAGCTGAAAAAGTGAAGAATAATCCTAGCTCAATTACAGAAATTCATTCTCATTTCTTCATCACATTTGATGAAGCTGTTAAGAAGGATTTATTGAATCTTAGTATCTAAACACAGTTTGTTCTCTCTAAATAAGTAACATGCAACCCCACTGAATCAGGGACCAAAAATGTACTTTCAGAATGACTATGTGAATCATACAAAGTGTCTTGGAATCCTGAAGATGGAAGCAAATGGGTTCTAAATAACAAATATTGGCCTTGTGAGAAGAAAATAATATTCAGAGAGAGAGGGTGAAGAAACCATATCCCATTGGTATTTATTAGAATAATTCCATTTCTCAGCCTGAAATCCTTGTGATCATGGCTACATTCTCCTCTTTCAAGCAAACTTCCTCTACTGTGTACTGACTGAAAGCTTACTGATACTCTTTGGTAACTCATATGGCACCTTTATATATGCTAATTTGTTCCATTTTTACTACGAGTTTTCCATAGTTCATTGAAAATAAAGTTTTGTGCTAATATTTGTTTGTTTCTTTGTAGGAGCAAATATTTTTTGTCCCTCTTTTTGTACTCTGAGTTACTACTTTGAAGATAATACACAGTATATTAACTACTGTTATTTGCTATTTTGTTATGAGATTTTATGTTTTTCATAAAATGAACAAAAGAAAGCTAGAGAGGTCCATCATATTGGATATATGATACCTGATTCCACAAGATTCTAAAACACAAAAGTCCTCTGTCTTCTCCTATGAAAAAACAAAACAAACAAAAGCTACAAGTCAATGCTACCACCCAATATCACCAGGCACAAAACACGCCACAGTGTCTTCCAGCTACTCTTCGATTCTAGGCTCAGATAATGACTTTGAAAATAGCAGTGACTAATTTATTTCAAGGCCAGGATATATAAACAATAAGAAATTTATTTCCATCTGCAAATATCTTGTTGGAATTTTCTAAGTGTAAGCTACACTATTCAATCAGAAAACTCAGTAGGAAAAAATTTGAAAATCTGTTAGATTTTGACTAAATTTTAAAGGAAATAAGAATAGCTCAGAAAAACCTTAAGATTCCTAGGTTACAAGGTACACAACTGAGTAAACAAAGAACAGATTCACAAGCCTGTGAAATTAAGCTCATATACTTCTTATTATCGGGATTAATGATTCTGGAACTAGGCATATTGTCCTGTCCTAGTGTTAAATAATACAGATAAAAAGCAAGAATAAGTTATCTACTTGCTCCAGGACATACTTATTAACAGAAGGTAAGATATGAACCAAGTTAATAGGCTAATTATCAAGAATAATAGCTTGCTTGCTAAGACTGCTTTGAAGACCAACTCAATGTTATTGTCATAAAATTGGCCCAGTTTCTAGGAGTTTCTCACCCTGTAAGGCCTACTCTAAAATCATCCAGCCCAGTAGTAAAACTCACTTAAGTCAAACAGAATGATATTATCTTTCTGAGATCTAATGTGCTGTTGTCAGAGTCTGATCAGCTTAGCTTTGCTTGACCAAGGGGCTTAACTGGTGATAATGTGGTGAGTTATTATGTTATGATCCTGATTCCAAGGTTGTACCAAGATCTTAAGACAATTTTGTGGTTGTCCTTCAGAATGCTTTTATTTTGTATTGAGTTTATCAGTACATTTTAGGTGTACATTATGATTGCATTCATCGCTGCAAATTTGTACCTGTACCTGATATATCTTGGTTCTTATTTTTTCCCCATTCCCCTGATCTCCCTTCAACCCCTCCACCCCTTCATATTTACATATGTTTTGTTTCCATTTGATTTTTTCAATTTTTTTTTCTTTTCCTTCTTTCTTTTCCCCCAACTCCCTCACTAGTTCCCCTTCCCTTTGAAAAATGTCTTCCTATTTCATGATATCTATTATGCATTTGGGTCCTCATTCACACTTTCAGTTTCTCACATCAGAGAAACAATTTGGTATTTATACATGTGCATCCTATTTATTTCACTTAAAAGCATGGCCTCCAAGAGCATCCATTTAGTTATAAATATCTCTAATTTATCTGTATTACTGAGTAGTACTCCATTTTATCTAAAAGAGCACATCTTTACCTAATCACCAGTTGATGGGCATTGGGACTGTTTACAAGATTTAACTATTACAAACATAAGTCTGCACATATGGCTGTGATATTATGCTTTGAATTCTTTTGTGAATATACTCAGAAAAAGAATAGCTGGCTAATATAGAAGTTCTAATGCTAGATTTGTTTTGTTTTGTTTTGTTTTGTACTGGATATTGAACTAGGGACCTTGTGTTTGAGAGTCATGTGACAGAACCACTGAGCTAAATCCCTAGCCCTTAATCCTAGATTTTTGAGGAATCTTCACACTGATCTCC